GAATGTCAGATCAAGGCAAGGTTTTTGTGCTATTTACTTTTTTAGTGTAAGAACTGTGCAAGTTTAGCCATGAAAGGGAGAAGGGAGAATAGTAACCAAAAGGTGAATGTCAGATCAAGGCGAGGTTTTTGTGCTATTTACTTTTTTAGTGTAAGAACTGTGAATGGCATATGCAGATGAAAAGGAGCCAGTAGAGTAGGAGAGGTTGAAAACACAGGAAAGAAAAGGGATAAACAGAGAACAAGTATTCCCAAAAAACAAGGAGGGAAGATATGCAAAACACAGATGAGGGACTGGCTTTTGATAGAACAGGGTGGGTGGTTGCAGGAAGTTGTATGGTAGAGAGAAGTTCCTGAGTGAGATCTTGTCTGAAGGCAGTCTTCTGTATAAAGAAGGTTGTCTGCTGAGAATGAAGGGGAAGGACAAGATAGAAAAGTCTAAGGTCTATAAAAAATGGGATAAGTTTAAAGTAGCCTCTGTAGAAAGTAGAAGAGCAAGATAAGAAGGAAAACATGGTAAGATGGCCAGGTAAACTAAAGAAACTGTTGAGTACATCTCTCTCCCCTATCCCCAGAATGTGGGAGACAAAATTAGGATTTGAATTTTCTCTGTAGCTAGTAATGTCATGAAATTAGAATCACGACTACAGAAAATTATCTTAACTTTCTCTCCAGTGATGTCACTAATGCCTAGAGTTTGGTCTGGAGAATAGGAAGGAAGCAACTTGACAGAACACTATCTTCCTTCCTTATTTTACCACCACTATTGAAGCTACCACCTATCAAGACTGCTGAAAACCTGATGCAATTGTCATTCAAACTCCCCATATCACATGATCGTGGAGTATACATAAAGCAAATGTATTTCACAGGGCCTGGTTTTCCAAAGCCTTGCAGTTTCCAGTTTGGCCTAGCTTCTTAAAAGAAATGTTGACCTTGCAGGGGATGGGAAACTTCCCAGACTAGTCTCTCTGTTGTAAGATAAAGAATTGTAGCATAGCAACAGTTGCAGGCTCAAAGGACAGACAAGTTACTGATTGATATGTAAAGAAACTGG